TTTCGTAATTTGTTCGTGAACGACGTTTCTGACAAGGAAATTTTTCAATTTTATTCCGTACAGTTTCCGTACAGTCTGCAAGAGTACAAAGAACTACGTTGTTTCCACGTTATCCGCGTTATTGAATTCTCTTTTCAACGGCGGCTATGAAAAGCAGTTGTTTGGCACATCTCTCCAGTATCACGAAGGTCGGACAGATTAAACTATTTGTTTCACGGTATTACGGCAAAGTAGCTTTTTGAAAATTTGCGCGACACGCTTCCAGGAAATATCTCGTTATCCCGACGAGAAGATACGAGAGTTATGTCTTTCAATAATATTATATCACGTTATTTTGTTAGAATTAAATAACTTTCTAGCAATTCGATCGTAACTGAATTCAACGCAGAACTTTTCTGAGAGTACGATCGCGAATCGTACCAATTTGTATTCAAGCAATGCGCAAAATTCGACGTAACTCGATAAAACGTCCGTGAAAATACCCGCGCTGAAACGCGGCGAGCGGTCACCGAAATGAAATAACGAAGGTACGTACATACGTTCGACCGCGTAATTACCGATATTAGTCGAACGAAACGCGAGGACAAAATTTCCAACAGCGATGCAAACGCTGTGAACGGTGGACGATTGTGAACGGCGGTTTTCACTGTTTTAAAGCACGGCGGTGCCCGCATTCCTCGGCTCCGCGAATTACTCTCGTTTTTCTTTCGCCGGCGAATCAGCCAGCGAATATTTCGGCCAGCCTATTTCGCAGAAGCGGGCCGCACGGAGAAATCTGATTAACCAGGCGGGGCTCGGTCGTTTCGCGTGGCACGATTTTTTAGTGGGACGTGCAAACACACGGCGACGTTCTGCCAGGGCTCAAAGACACGCGGCGCGGCCTAGCTAGAGGGGCTCTCTGTCGCCTCCATTGTTATCTCGGACTTTTGTGGACCGTGGAACGGATTGTTTTCAGCTTCGCCAGCGACAGTTCTCATTTTTTTGCTATTCAGAAAACCGTTGAAAGTTTTGCGCCCTGCTGCTACGCCTTCGTCCACGTTGCCCCGTGGTGTGTTTGTCCGCGAATTGACTTGCTACGGAGGAGAAGCGCTTTTCCCGAAAAACAAATGCCATTTTCGAATCGCCAACCGCGATTTTTCCCCGCCGGCCTCCGGGGAATTGATATGGTTGTCTTCGGCGAGAGTGTAAATAACAAATATTAGTGAGTAATCAATTTTCGTTACAGAGCTCACATGTCATCGACCGTGACAAGCGAGAGAACGTTTTCCTTTATTGCAACGACTGAATTGCAAATTGTTAGAGAAACAGGGCAGTTTTAGTCAACGGAAAAGGCAGCAGAAATGCTTCAACGAATCCAAAATAATTGATTACTCATGGGTAGCCTTGTGACATTGAATTAAATGACACTCGACGGTGTTCCAAATTGCGGAGGGAATTTACAAACAAGCGAGGAACAAAGTTTAGCCTCGGCAGATGCTGATTTCGTTCTTCTTTTACACGAACGTGTTCGTTATCGTCTTAAACAAGAGGGATGGCGGGAACATAATGTTTGGGAGGGTCATTAATTTCAATTTGCAAAGGTAAGCCTGAGAGATGCGAGGAAGTTGCGCTCGAGTTTCTCCGGGAGTAACTCGATTCCGTGAATTCGCAGCTGGTAACACGGTGTGGTAATGCGGAATGAAAACAAAAATTATAATCAGTCGTTGAGTTGAAACGAGACGCGTGTCTACTCTTCATTTATATTTGAAGTTATGCACGTAGTTATGCACGGCTATAGTAGCAACGCTTGCTCGTTAGTATGAATCAGCGTATACGTGCAATTTGTAGATTCGACTTCATTAACATACACCAGCGATCGATTAGTAATCAGTCAGGATTAGAGAATAAGGCTTCATTCATTGCAAGAGACCGGTCCGTGTATTGGCTTGGTATTCAATGCATTAATTAGGATATTCAGTGTGAATCATTGGACTTAATACAATGTATTAAAAGCAGTAGCAATGTTCGCAACTTTGATTCAATGAAAATTATCGTCAAACCTGTAGTATAGTATTTTTACAAATTTTATAACAAACTCCTTCTTGCAATAAAGAAATCATTGTGTCTTTAGTTAGTTAATTGTTGAATCAACTGATCACTAACGTTAATTCGATGTCAAAGATTGAAATGCTTGTAAATTCATACCCCGGAACAACGAACGTATTAAATTAATGTATCTCGTTGCAAAAGCAAATTTCCGAGGTATAATACTTTCAACTGAAATACAAATATTGCGAGTCAACGTTCGCTTTGAAATATAATTAATCCTAGTCTACACTGTAAAATTACAATATAAATTAATAAAGAAATATTGATATATTCGCAGTTGTTTTAAAGAAGATGAAGCTCAACGTCGGTTGATGACAAAAAAGAAAAGTTTTTCTTTAAAGCTGAGCATATCGTACATATCGGGACGCGAACGTTTTAATTCACCTTGAATCTAATTTTTTTTTTTCCTTCTTCGCCTATGCTTCTTCTTTTCTGTTCCACGTGATTCTGAATAGGTATATATTTCGAGTCGCGCGGCTATCGTGTCGGTCAGACCGCGTTATTCATTCCTGTCGTCGCTTTTTTACATTTATCATCGATATCTCGCCAATTCTCAACGCCAGGCCGTGAAATCGCATCACTACGTGGCGTAACACGACGGAAATTCACCCGGTTTGCACGGGTTACTGCTCCTTTCTGAATTTACGTTGCTCGAGCTGGCGTGTCGAGGCTTAGAACCTTGCCGAGCCCGGAGCTTTTGGAACCGCAACGCCGCCAACTTTCCCCGTGATCTTCCGCGACACAACATTTACACGATTTACCGTAGACAATGCGCGACTGACTTAGCCAACAAACCACTTATCTGACACGCGAACGCGCGGAAAATGACTCTGTGACACTATTATTAAGTTCGTCTTTCCCGGAGCATTCCACGATCAAACCCTGTCTTGTTCCGTCATTGACGGGTTTCTCAAATTTTAGAAAGTTATTAATACGCATACACAATATTATCAATATAATATGTTTTCTAGTTTCTATAATTTTAATATTCAAGAAATTTCAATATTTACAACGCTGTAACGAATGTTGGTCCTTGGACGATCAATTAGTGAAATATATAGTCTCTTTTACCATGCTTGGAATACAAACAATCTCTTCTGTTTTCCGTAGCATAAAGTATTTTCAACATCTCGAGAGAGAAAGTAACTCGAACAGATACATGGACATTGGTAGTATAGCCGTCAGTTTAACCGAAAACCAGAAACACGCACAGGAAAAGAAAAAAAGAAGGAAACGACATTAGTAGAATAGGCCACTAGTCAGCCGCGTTTCAATGCCCTCGGCTAATGTAGTACCGCGATCCATTTCGATCCAACTGGGCACCGGTGCGAATGAAAATATATCAATGGGGTCAAAAGCGCTTTAAAGGCCGGTCACTTGGAACGGATTGTCCATGGGATCGTAAGAGAGTTCCCTCGTGCGATAAATCTCCTAAAAACGATTCTCTTCAGCCGGTGTTTGAAAAGATTACACCGGACACTTTTACGAGGCCTTATTTTCTCGATGGCCCGCAGTCTGAGTGCTTCTCTATCGATAGTCAAAAAGAGGATCGTTCTGCAGATTTGATACCGTTAGAATGCCAACTAGAAATAGCCACGTTCTTTCTTTCAACGGAAGAATCGCGACCACGATTATCATTCGATTTCCTTTTGCTTGGAGAAGGGGAGTTAAATAACGTGACTATCTTTAAACACTGACGGATAATGTGCTGGTCTGGCAATTAGACTGCCGATGTTCGGTACATTCTCGGAAATAGGTCCGATTTACTTATAACACGAAAGAGTGAAGAGAAAGAAATTCAGAGAAATTGGCATAATCTTCATTTTCAACATTTTACGTAGATAACAAAACTTTTTTCCATTGCATCACTGTGTATTTTATATTACATTCTAAAGACTCCCTGTTTCAAAATTGTACTTGTACTCGTTGACTTGTTAAATTAAAATTGAAGCAACATTGTAGGAGGAAAGAATGATATCGAAATTCAATCCTTTTATTTGGTAATCTGCTGTTAGTTCCAAGTAACGTGTTCGAGAGTCGGAAGCAAGTTGCAGCAACTATTTGACAAGTAACCGGTGTCAAAGCACTTTCCAAGTGACAAGGAATGCATTATTAATTGATCGGGCAATTACTCGTACAAACTGGATGGACCAGAGCGGAGCCGCAAGCGCCACGTCCATTAACGTCGCGAAATTCTGTCAGCGGCGCGCTTCCCGGCTCGTTCCGCTTTTCATTTTTTTCTTTTTTTTTCGCTTTTCCCGTTTACATCGCCAAGCACCATTGCGTCGAGAAAGAGAGAGAGAGAGAGTGTTGAAAGAAGGAGACATTAATTACATTAGAACAAAACGCTTGCCTAGACACTTGGCCTAGTAAGAATCCTCTAGCGAGTAAACGAGCCACCATAGCGCGCCGCGCGGCCCCCCAGGAACGTGAATTCTCTTAACTCTGTGCACTGTAGCGGCTGTTACAAAGGCTCGTGAAAAATTGCTCGTAAAAAAGAAAAAGAAAGAAGAAAACAAAAAGGGGAATACTTCCTCTTAGTTAACTCGAAACTCTTTCGCGCTTTTAATACTGGCGCGGTGCTAGCAAGGACACTGGTAAATGTTCTCGTAGAAGGGAATTGTGGGCTTGATTAATCACCGGAGCGTTTCGTACGTAAAATTTGCTTATTCCGCGAAAATACAACTCTGATCTTGCTTAATCTCGGATTGTGACGTTTGAATTGTTCCAATCTTAAAATCGCGCTATCTTTCGGTATGCTGATCCCGTTTCAATTTATACTTTTTTTCAGGACAGGAAGACGAAGAGTGTGCCTCTGAGTTGGGTGAACACCGACGACTCCACTGGTAAGCAAAAAAAAAAAAAAAAAATAATCGTTGATTTATTAGTTAGTTAACTCCTTCGTTTCCGAGACGCTGAACTTTCTTTTACAAATAGAATAAAATCTATGATTCATAATTGCGTGCGCATCTTGTTTTAATTCGTTGTTGATTTTCGTAAGTGTCATTAATCCGTCAAATACCATATCGTAATACCATATAGTAATACCATATAGTAAGAACTATGAGAACGAGAGAGTTGGTACGATCGAATCCTAGAATAATACAAGCTTGGTTATTGGTAGTAACAGCAAAACGATTTACGAAAATTTACTCTATTCTAATGCGCGATACACTTTAATCCATTCTAGACTAGCGCTGGTTATATCCGGCATCCACTAAGCGCGTCGCATTAGCTAGCGACAGTAACGATACGCGAATTGACAGCACGCATTAATTAATTGACGAGATATTCTACAAACTGTGGTAATAATAATGAACTAAGACTCATCGGAAAACACTTTCCTACTCCGTATACACACTGGGAGCTCCAAAAATGCGAGTCACTCTTAATCTCTTGCGCTGGAATTACGTGCCACGCACGTCGAGAATTTTCTGTTCCAAAATTGCAATATTTTCTCAGTTTCAAGTATATTTAAGTAAAACGAAATAGGCAAAACAAATAATAAATTTATTACTTCTTGATAATTTCTATCCGAGTGATGTCGTGCCGACGAGATCAAAAAGAAAGCGATGGAATTATTGCGTACGGTTTGGTCACTCGTTATGGTCCGCAATCAGTTGCCAGCGCAAGTTGTTAATACGTTATTGCGTACGGTGTGCACTAATGGTACACGACGATCCGTTTCGTTAATAGGCGTACTGATGGCTAGTTCCATCGTCGCGAAAGGGTTAAGTCGCGTGACGAATTTCGCCGCTTCAGCGAAGAGTCTCGGAATCTCTCTCTAGCACGCGATTCTCACGGCATGCTGCACACACGTATACACACATACATATGGCAGTGATAAAATATTTGCTTTTATGTCCTTTATACGTTCCATTCGGCTACTTATTTCGCGCGTATGCCCGGAAAGGAACACCGGCCATATTACTGAATTGTATCAGAAGGAAGTTGGCTCAGCAGCCAGCGCGAGACTCGCTCGGATTTCCCCGTTAGATAGGTTGGGTAACGCACGGCGGTCGGAAATGCGAATTCTCTTTACTTCTCCATTGTCCACCGTACGCTGGCAAAGTGCATGAGAAAGAGAGAGAGAGAGAGAACTGGGCTAAAGAGGGGTGGGGAAGGGAGATGTTTGCTCTTCTGGGAAAGTAAACTCCAGAGCTTTTCATACGCGCGCGACTCGTAGCGCTAACCCAATTTTAACCGGTACGACGCTAACGGTGGCTACGTTTTCACTGGGAGAGGGGTTATTTGCCTTGCCTCCACGCCCTTACACGCGCTGCCGCGTCTTTTATGCAAAGTATTGGCAAAGATTGAAAATGCCCCTATACAGAGAGAAAAAGAGAGAGAGAGAGAGAGAGAAAGAGCGTGACTGCGGTGGTTAAAATAATATCGGTTCACGGTGTCGAAGCTTCTGAAAATATTTTCCATTAGACGTGCTACGTGCTATGAGAAATTTCTCTCCGGGGGGATATAAACCGAAATAATGCCGAGAAAGTGTTTGCTTTGAAAGGGAACGATTGTACATTGTAGTATAGCACTCTACACTGGTGGATTATCCGGTTACTTTACTTCCGGAAGATTTTCTTGCGGAATTAGGTGGACAACTTGCCACAAAATATTATGTTGACGTTGAAATGTGAAAGTTGCAGGATTTTACATCACTTTTCGCAGGTCTGAAATCTAGAATAATGGAGTAATTTCGTTCAACGAATCACCAAAATATATATATATATACCTTTTGCTTAAAAGTTTCGAAAATCCTTTGCTTTCTCTCGAAAAAGAAATCATTGCAATTACATTTTTAAATATAATTGACTCAATAATATAGAAAACCGATCTTACGAATGAAACGTTCATTTTTTAAAAGACGTTATTTCTTTCAAAATTCTACTCTATAAATTCTTGAACGAGATTCTTATGTAATTCATCACCGATATATTTACGAATATATATACGAATCTATTCGTAGCAACTCTCAAATCTCATTTCCACGTAAAAATCGAGAGCCATACGTTTCACGGTTCGAAAGTAAAATTCGCGGAACGTAGAAATAAAAAAAAAAAAAAAGAAAAAAAAGAAAAGCAACCGTGGACTTTTAGAAGCGAGTTCATTGAATTCTGCTTAGACGTGCGCGTTATGCAGTCACGAAATCTGGGATTCACCATTCGAAACACGTGCACGGTTCGGCGGGTGACGGTATCTAGTTTTATAGCGCGGGCACAGTTGTCTGGGCGAAAAGACCGAGCGTGGGAGGTAGAGTGAAAGGTACACAGGGGTGGTAACGAAGTTTTCAAAGACAACATCGAGTCTGATATCTAACGAGTTCATTCCACTCGGCTACCGTGGCAAAAACTGCAAGCGGAGATCTCTATCTGCCTACCCTTTCCGGCCAGGTCACCCGGTCTTCCCCTCTCCTCGTCTCCACCGTTTTTTTTTTTTTTTTTCAGAAACCAACGTCGAGGAAAACGCGAAATTCCCTCCTCTACTATTTCGTGCATCGCGACGAACCTCTTCCAAGGTTCTTGGATTTTAATTTTCCAAGGGACTATTGGAAAACAATTAACTTTGCTCGAGCGTCTCTTCGCTTTCTTCTACTTGAAGCGTGTTCCCACGCGTAAAATATCTTGCTGGATTCACGGAACGAATCGTTTCTACCGTAACTTCGCGGTAATTCTGCTGTGATTTCTTCTACTGCGACAGATTGTCATACTAATTTACAATAGAATTTAGTACAGGAAACTCGTGCAAAATACTCACAAACGGACGTTTAAATTTGATCTAAGACGCGCTAATCGCGAGACATTCAGGTATCCGACTACGTATCTCGACGTCATGCAGAACAAAATTTCCAATATCGAACCGGTGAGTTTTCATTCGGTTGCGAGTCCCTTACCTCTGACTCCGGCGATTGAACGATCAGCGATGTTCTCGGTGGTTTCTCCGGAGGTACTTTCTTCAACGTCCCGGTGAAGGAAGCGGTGGACGCAGCGCTGGACGGCGCTGAAACGCCCTCGTGGCCATCGATCTGGCACTGAAGCCGATGGAACTGCGAGAACGAGGTACGCGAGGTGTCGGCGCGTTCGAATTGCGGGAGACACGGCAGTGGCATCTGCGACATGTTCGCCGCTTGAATAGAATTCGGGTCGGTGGTATCGTGTTGAAGCCTGGGCGATAGTTTCTCGCAGACGGACGATTGGCAGGATTGGTGATTAGAGTTGGGCGCGTAGGACGCGGTCAATAACGTCTGATGATGGCTGTGCGGCTGTGCGTTCTGGCTCTGCGACGTGCAGATCTTGTCGGTCGGCTGTTCTTGGTGGTTGGGCAGCGAGTTGGATTGCATCTGGTGAATCTCGTTTCCGATCGGGTGCGGCGGAAAATCGGCCGATCGTTGCAACTTGTCGCACAGCTGGTTCTGCGCCTGCAGGCTCTGCAAACGGGCCTGCAGGTCGGTCTGTTGGTGTTGAAACTGCGCAACTTTATCGAGGATTTGATTCTGATTCTGAAGACATTGCAACTTCGCTTGGAGGTCGCTCTGTTGACGCTCGAACTGGCTGAGCTTCTCGGAGATTAAGTCGAGGCTCTGTTGATTCTGCAGCTGTTGCTGTTGCGGTGTCAAGCCGTCGGGTTTTTCGTTCTGCGGGCATTCCAGTTGCCCCTGAAGGTTGTCGTTCTGGCTTTTGCTGTGAGTCAGTAAGCTGCTCGAGATGTTGTGACTTTTACGATGGCTGTGGATTATGTGGTCCACTTGATCGATCGGCTTGTCCAAGCAGGTCTCACCAAAGTCCGTTACTACGGTGAGGACAGCTTTGGTGTCCAACTTGGCCTCGCTGAGGGCCGGGTATTGATGGCATATATTAGGACTGGCTCTTTGAGACGGAGCTGTGCTAGCAGGCGGTCCGAGATTCGCCACGGATCCGCTGATTGGCTGCTCGTCGAACTCCTTCCTCGAGAGTTCCATGTGCTTCGTTAGATCGGCACTGACGTGGCGCAAGTGTCGACGTTGCTCCATTATGGTCCTCTGGCTGATGTTCGGAATAGGTTGAAAAGCCGACTGAGTCATTCTGGCTTCCTTGCGATCATCCGCCTGATGCATTTGCCTGGGATCTCTCCTCTCTTCGGACTGGTTGCGCGAACGCGGGCTGGTGGAGATCATTTGGTTCTGCATCATGTTCCTCTCGTGCTCCTGCCGTTGTCGCTGTTCGGCCCATATCGTCAACTCTTGCCTGGTTTTCTCGAAATTTTGATTCACAAACGACGGGCTCTTCTGCCCGGCACGATCCGCGGATCCCTCGCGGATCGGCATGAACGGCATCGGAGATCTCCTAACGTCCTCGATTCTCTTACCTTCTATGGTCATCGGCGACCTCCTGTGCTCGTCAAAGTAATCGGACCGTCTGTTCTCCTGCGACATGGTGACTCTTTGATTAGGGCTTACGTTACCCCATTCGGCTTTTCTATCGGCTCCTATGCTCTTTCTATTCTCCTGTCTCGTATCGAAAGCCATCGGCGATACCCTCAAGCTCGTGTCCAATCGCCTTTGATCAGGCGGATACACTTGGTTGGCTTCGACTCGTTTCGGATCCACCATGGTTCCGGCCTTCCTCGCTGGTATTAATATCTCCTGATTGCTATCGCCGGGGAACGTGAACGTGATCGTGTCGTTACGACGCTGGAAGCTCGACGTAACGTCCACGGAGATGGATTTCCTATGTTCGGGCCTAGCAGTCACGTAGAGGCCGCAATCCGGTGCCACGGGCTCGCACAGTTTTTCTCGGCCAGGCGGATCTCCGTTCGTGTCGACGTACAGGCCGTCCTGTCTCGTCCTTGGGTTCTGATTGATGGTCGTTAGGTATCTTCTGTCCTGCGCGTCGGCCACGATCTGCGCCCCCTGCACGATTATCGCCCCGTCGCTCCGGTGAATCTGCTCTTGCGGCGGATTCTGATTCGGATCGTATTTCGGTTTCTGCAGGCCGGGAACGTCCACGCTCGCCGACTTTCTGTGGCCCGTGTCGTGGGTGATCTTGGAATTGCCCCGCGGAGGGACCATCGGTTTCGGTCCGCGATTCGGCCTCTCGGTAGTCGCGATCGCTAGGCCGTGGCTCACGTTCTGCGCGATCGGTTGAATGATGGGCTGAGTCTGATACTGTCCCAGTTCCTGGGAGAATCGTTGCGGATTCGGCGATTGCTGGCCGAACTGTTGAGCCGGATACATCCCGGCGTAGGGGACCGCGTTCATGACCGTTTGAGGATACTGGGTGTAAGAGTACTGAGGTTGCGCGCTGAATTGAGCGTAACTGGGCGGTGGTTGAGGCACGACAACACCTGAAAAGTAGGGTGGCTGCGGGCTGGTGGATTGTGGAGGCATTTGAGAACCGTGTTGGACGGTCACGTATTGACCTTGCCCGGTGAACATCGGATTTGCTGCGCCACCTTGATAGAGCGCCGGGTCCCTGTACGTCACGTCCCTCGTCACGTAACCGGCTCGTTCCGCGTACTGAGCTTGCTGAGGATACATCTGCTGAGGTCTCACCTCGAACTGGCTCCGTATCTGCGTGTATTGAGTCTGATCGTAATCAGGCATGAACTGAGGTTGCGCTTGAACCGGCAGAGTTTGAGTGCTAGTTTGAGAGACTTGTTGCGTCCTCTCGAGGGCAGACTTTTCCTGACCGTATTGCTGGGGCGGAAGTTGTCCAGTAGGCGGATGTCTGTCCTCGGGAACACCGACCACGGGTTGCTTCCTTCCACAGGTCGGATATTGACCAGTCTGCTGAGTTTGTTGTTGCTGTTGCTGTTGCTCCTGACTGTGGCCAGCCAACTGATTCTGCTGAGCCCTGTCCTGAGAGAATCTGTCGTACTCCATGGTACGGTTTTCAAAGCCGTTGGACAAATCCTGCTTGGCATTATCGGCAGGCGGCTCGGCCCGGCCGTTCTGACACGCTGTCTGTTGATTCTCCATCGTTTGTCCAACCTGATTCTGGCCCTGACTGTCGTTCACCCCTCCTGAGCCGGACTGCGACATACTGGCGGCCCCCACCGACGGTCGTCCGCCGATGTAGCCGAGAATTCGCCCCAATCCACACACCGTGACGATTTACCGTGCAACCCTCTGTTGGAAATCTAGACTTCAACGCAATCGTCACGGATCGCGTTTTTACGCCTCGTAGATTCCGCTAGGTCGACTCGAGGCATGTAAACGTCGATATTGATGTCGTTTGCTCTCTACTCCCTCTTGTTCCGTGATCCTTATCGAATCTCGTTTCTCAACCTCGTGTCTCCTCCCTTCGCGTCTGTAGGCCGCTTGTTACGAACAAATGCATCAAAATTTCTCGCAACTCTCTAAATGTAATCAGCTCTTTCCTCCCGTAAACATTCGCGTAGCGACTTCGTTGCAGTTTCTCGATTCGAACGAAAATGTTGAACGATATTTGCCAGTCTTTTTTTTTTCTCCCACTCCTTTATACTTCCTTTATCCACTTTATTCGTTTTCGGGAGCGATGTTAATAAATCGCAGATTCACCGAACGGCATTACGTGAAAATTTGTTTTTCGCAGCGACGTTTGTCTCTGAGCACTGGCGTTTCTCATTTTCCCATCAGCGACAGAGTACATAAGCGACGTAATCTGCTTTATTGCGTCCTTTTGACGCTGTCAAACTCCCGGTTTCGTTTCGTTTCGTTTCGTTTCGTTTCGCAAATCTTCATCAATTGCGCGTCGTTATTCCGTTCCTTCTTTCCTCAATTCATGATCGCCTTGTTGCCAGGCAACGGAACAGATATTTCACGGAGGGAAACTGTTTCGTTTCCTCTTCGCTCCTCCTTCGTTCGTAAATAGCAATTACGCCGAAACGTGTCAGCGCGTAACAGCTCGCTCGTATCTCTCAGTTAGTTTCATTCGCCGTGAAAATGTTACTCCAAAAGACAAATGTCATTCCGAAAGCTTTTTGCCCGTCATCGCGCGACTTTCGCTTGAATTTTTTTTTTTTCTCGCGAGATACAGCGCTCCACGCTCGTCGTGATTCGTCGGTTTGAATTTGAATATCGATACAGTCGGTGTAAAATTCCTCGAAACGTTAAAAATATTGATTGTTTGCCGTTTGATCCTTTCGTTTCATTATCCGTTCCTGGAAGGAATTGGCTTTTGATTTCCGGCGGGCAGTTCCCGTTGCGACTTGCCAAGAATCGTCAGTCCTCTTGCTGTCAGTTTCGACAACGACGATTTCTCGATCAAGTTGAAAGACAACATTTGATTTTGTCGTTCCAGTTTACGTGTCGCGTAACTCTCCTCTCTTCTCTAAGTCTAACAGAACAGAATTAACGCTTTCTTTTTTCTGCGGTGTGCTGGGGTGACAACTCGTGCCGAGAAAATCGATCTGGAAAAGAAAGGCACGAAATGGTACTTCCTCGGTGTATCTTTCATGCATATTTCCCTCGTAAGATTCGGTGGAAAGTAAATTCCAGCTGATTTTACGGAAAAAAGAAAAAAAAAAAAAAACATTCTGAAGCAAGAAATTACGAGTCTCTGCAATTAAAGTGAAAAATGTTTTGCTTCTAAATAGTACACTTTGCATGAATCTTCTTTTCTTTTATTTAATTCGAAGAGCTGAAAATGGCAAGTGAAAATGCAAGTTTTGCGCACTACTCTATTATTTCGAATCTTTTAGAATTTACCATTTTAGCTTTTCAATTAGCCGATTGTAGAAAGCGTAATACGATTATTTGGAGAGTAATCTTTCCTGTCGAAGTTTGATCGTCTATATAATAGTGATTCCTAGCCACGAAACTCTGACAGTCGTCAGAACAGTGGGTCGAAAGAAACACGAGGCAGAAAGTCGACGTGAATTCCGACGTTGGCTATCAATTCGAAAATATCGGCGACCGACTTTCGGCAGATCAGTTTTGGAGAAGACGCTTATTCGTCTAAGTGCCTAAGTCTCACAATCAGGGAATCCGCGCGAGGTTCAACTCGTCGCCGACAATGACAAGGCCGGAACAAAGAGCCGGTTGCTTCGGAGACGATCTATTTCACTCGGAAGAACGCGAATTGTTTTCGTGATTTCCCAGGCGCCTCGTGATCACTTTAGCTTCAGCGAGCGGCGGCCATCTTTCATTGCTGCGAAAGTTACTCCGTGGCAAACAGAGAGACGGCTGCGGAATTTCTTGCTGTCTTGGAGAAGACTCTCGGCGTGAATTATCGGCTTCCGTATCCGTATCCGCGTTTACTTTTCGTAATTTCTTTCGAACAACGCTCCGGTATAGGAGCTCGATTCGAAGAAACCACGATAGAGGATTGAAAGCGAGAAAGATAGTTGGATGTGTTACGTGAATAGTTAACAGTGGAAAAAAGAATCAACAAAATTAAACCCACGTGGTTTACAATGAATAATTGATTAATATTTAAGTAATTGGAAGTAACTGAATACGGAAGAGATATATTAAGTTCTGTCTATACTTGCACGCTACCCTCTATCAAAAATATTACCCTTGAAATCTCTGTCTTCACACACTCATCCATACACGCAACCATACGCTCGTATTTTACATCTTAAGATTAGTCTTAAGCCTTAAGTCTGACTTTTTCGCTCGTGACAATCGCATGGGGCACGCAGCAAGCGATAGTTGCCTCGCTCTTAGGCCGCACAGAAAGAAATTCCGAACATTGTGATGTTTTCACATTAAGGGAACAATTCTGGCGAGTCTCGTACTGCCGACGAGTTTTTCCGATTTTCGCGGGCGTTTTATTAGTCGAGGCAATCACGTTAACGCGGAAAGTCGGACGGAAGGGAGGACGAAGGTGCTGCGCGTTTATCCGTAATAAGGGTCGACCATAAACCCGTTTATGAGCCACAGTTTTCAAACGGCTCAGTACCGAATTTACTCGAACAGCTGCTGAACAACTTGCTTTAACCGTAGGAGCGAATAGTCGAATTAATGGTAGATGGAGTTTACACGGAGCTTTCGCCTCAATGGAAGTTAGAAACTCAGTGTCAAAGTGGATTTGCTTGTAGCGGATTTTTCTCCGCTTGTAACAGCGTAGCACGTAGAACAAATCTGTCTTTAGAGTTGTCAAAAATTATGAATTCGCATGAAAATCGGCGGTCCGGTTGTTCCAGGCAATCCTTTCGATCTCGAAGCTCAAACGGAAACGTGATATTGAAACAACCACGTGTATACGTGCTGCCGTATCCGCCGCATTTTGCTCTTGATAATTTCATCAACAGGGTCAGTGTGTCGAGTGTCTGTACGGTGTATACGGCCAGTTGGTAGCCGACACTGCCGTTGGATTCACCCGAGGGTTTCGAGCTAACAGTCTTTGAGCAGGGCGTAGAGATAGATGTAGGTTGGACGGATGCGCGTAAAGTGACCATCTCGTTTTGCAAACAAAGGACTCGTAATTCATCATGCCCGGGCTTTCTGATACGCGCTTCACATCCGAACTAATGACTGGTCTTTATGCAAGGGGCCGGGAAGGTTAACGCCTATTTGTGGATTGAATGTCATGCGTCGTGAAACGCGGGCTGGTCGAAATGAAAAGAAAGGCTAAATGGGGCACAAATAGTTTAAATTACGGTTAAGCTCCCTTCCCATGAATTTGTCCAGGGGACAAATTGGTTATATCGGTGTATATAGTGGGAGTTTGCTCGTTCATTTAACAGCAGTCTAAATGTACGTAATAAATTGTATAATTATGTAAAAAAATAATAATATAAATTAGTTTAATAAATTAATATAATAATAACAATTGTGTAATATAAGAATGTAAATAATAAATATATATTTGCATAATTTACATTTATTTATTACGTAAGTTATGTATACGCTTTAACATTTTGTATCATGATCTACATGGTTTACGTTATATTTATTATTATATATATATATATATATATATATATATATATATATATATATACACATACACATATATATTTACATGAACGAATAAACTCGCACTATATGAATATTTATTTGGTATTATGTATATCAATTAATTACAGTCCAGTTCGATCGAAAAATAGAATCGATAAGAAGGATAGAGTTAAACGTATCGAGAAATCACAAGAATTATAGAAAGAGAGAAATTATTCGTTTAATCTTGTCATTATTCCGCGATTGCAACGCGAATAATGAAATTTACACGATAAACGATGTTTTAAACGGCTGTTTTAAACGGCTGTTTTAAACCCGTCGTTTCCGCGCGATCGACAGTTTGAACCGCGTGATTAGTTGCGAACCGGTCAGCAATCAGCTGTCCATTGTGCATAAATCGGTGGAAACGACTCTAATCACGCAACGGGATATCGTACGTTTCTTTGGGCTATCGTTGCCTTTCCCCTAGCCGCTTACACGCGTGTAAAACCGACGCGACGAGGGAAATAGAGGGAGCGTATCACAATCTCGTTAGAAGCGGATGACAAACAACTTGAGAGTATTCCCTCGTATGTGTCTGAGGAGAATTTGTTCCCCAGTTGCTGGGAGAGAGAGAAAAAAAGAGAGAAAGAGAGAGGCAAGCAAATTGCTTTTGTCCTGTGTGAGCGTGCATTCTCCTATCGGTATACGCTTCATATACATATGTATATATTTAAAAAATATACGAGTGCATAACCACGTCGGCAAACGTATGCGGATTTCGTTCGCTTTTGAACGGCTTCAACGTTTCCTTATTACCTTGCGTGTAAGGCGTGTTTTATCAAAATGCATTTTGTTTCTTTGTCGCGTTGTAAATATATCACGCGGCGTAACAACCCTGAAAGTTACTTACGGGTACAGTAAATCGCGTGCTGATCTTCGTTGTTAATCTCAGATTAGCATCAACGCAGAGGGTGAAAATCGTCGACGAGGAAATTTCCCTTGGAGAGATTCTCGTCTATAGATTTTCTTGAAACGACCGAATTCTAATTTGATTTTTCTCCTCTTAAATATTTGGTGTGCGCCAGCGATCAACGATCCAGAGATTTTCCCCGCTCTCACAGATTTATCCTCCAATTACGTTCGCGCGATTTAAGCGAGGAACACAATTCACCGTGTATATATTTTCGCAGTTACGCTCGGTATCAAGATCGAAATAATTTGATCCGCCGAGAATTAACCACGCTGTGTCCCGAACCGAATGGGACTAAATGCGCTAGTGTAAATGTAATAGGGAAATTGTGTTAGAGCTTACGTACTATATACACGTCGTTGATATGTGCTCGAATATTTACTTTGCATTTAGTTGTATCCGGCCTCGGTGTGTATTTATATCGTGTGCACGCTGTCCGTGTTTGCTAAGCGTACTTTGATGAGCTCCCTGTAGATGTACAAATTTACTATTTCCACGTACATACATACATACATACGTGCACGGTATTACTCGGATACGTGCGTCGTCATATCAATTACTAATT